AACATACAAACATGCTAACTCGAACCGCCTTCTTGCCTTAAAAAAATGCTCAAGGGGGACTTATTGAAATTAGATTACACTATTAATTCCAAACAGGGCTCACCATCCGATGAGTAAAACACTGTGAGGTTGCCTTTGACCGGTGGGGAGCGGGGATTTTACCTCGACGCCTAGGAGGGGTCTGTTCGTATTCGTGTTGCAGTCAGAGTGACATGAATCCTCTGGTCTTGCCGTTTCCTCTTTTAAACCCACATTCTGTACCCCCTCTTTCCATCCGCCGCCTAGGATAACTAGAATGCAAAAGGGATCGTACCAAGGGAGGAAATCGGGGGATGGTGATCGCTTTTGCGAAAAAAAATCATAATGTATGTAACTGAGAGCCCTGCTTCCGATGATCTCAACAGAGGTCTACAATCTCTTTGAAAATTTCAAAAATAGAACCCAGTAGTAATAACTTTTCACGGATCTGCCCTAATATCGGAGATCTGCAGTAGTTTCACGAACTTCCTCGCCATGAGCGTTATGATGACAGAAGAGAAAATATGATCGATTGCATGTGCCCCGGAAATTGCGGGCGAACAAACGCAAATAAGCAGCCCCTCTTCCCAGGCCATCCTTACAAATAGACTGATGATTGCGTGCGCACCAGAAAATTTCGACGACTCACCAACCAGCCAACGAACGAACACTTTACCGATATTTGAAGCAGAAAACTGGAGATTAATATTAGAATCATTCCTTGCGACTCACTCCAGATCAAACCCACTAAGAACTTTGGGGGGGGGGGTTACTTGAAGACCTTCTTATGAAGAACTTGAATTACCGTGGAGAAGATAAAACCTTTTCCTTAGCTCGAGGTGAAAGGAGTTTCAAGATGAGGGAACCAATGCAATTATTGTAATTCTATTCCGATGATGTCACCCCCCTTCTTATAGTATAAGGAGCATTTATTTGCATAATAGCGAGCTTTATCAGCCTCGTCACCACAACACTGTAGTAATCTAGTTGCCTTCTAACTTGTTATCCTAAGAAAAGTTAAGTTACAGAGATATAAACAAAAAAATTACCTGAAAGGAAAGCCTGAAAAAACCATTCGCGGCGAGAATGCGCCCTTCACATGGGTGTGCCTACGCGGTCCGCTTTACACCACAGAAAATATTGTGAATCCAGTTTCGCACGAGTAGTCCTTTAAATGCCCCTCCAAGGCTACTAGCGTCAAAGTTGCCCTGACAGTAATCGATATCGGATCGTACCGAAAAGTGAGAAGCTTTCTAACAACATATAGAAAAGTAGCGCTTTTGCTACATATAACCTCGTTTGCTGCGCACGATGGGGCGTGTCGACGCGGCCGCGTCTGGAGCGGCACCAACCCGTTTTTTTCTTTCTTTTTCGGCAGACGACGAAACTGTGTCATATCAATCGTACCAATCGTTTTCCATCAGTTGTTGTCACTACCGCTCTTCAGCAACTGGTGGAGAACGGCCTGGCAGCGCGCCAAACGCAGCCGCTCTGACACGCCCCATCATCCACAGCGAACAAGACTGTAGGTAAAATTGTGGGATTTTTCAAGAAAGATGAGAGCAAACAAAACAAATACGACTAAAAATTACCGCAGTTCGGCCTTCTGGGGCTACAAATGATGCTCAGCTAGAGCTGTACAGGCGACCCTATGAAGTACTGAAAATTCTTGTAACCAAATGGGCTCCCTCGTGGCCATTTAGTTGCTACACCGAAGGTTACCCATTAATTGACAGGTACTTGCAAAAGGAGCCAGCAAATGTACAAAGATGCCCCTACCGAGCCCTACAGCGGCTAGAAATGTACCAACTTCTAGCCAGTTCAACTGAGTTGCATATCCGTAGGTTAGACACCCATCGGCGTTTCATTTCATACAGCAAAAACTTTCAAACTTTTTTTTCGCAAATTTTCGAACAAAACCTGCATTAGACCCAAAATGTGATCGAATTACAGCAGCGCTTCTCTATTTTGGTGTGACATTCCGGAAACATTCCCTGGGAGCACTATTAGCTCCTATTAGAAAATGATTCATTGATTCAAAACACTGAATCATCAGTTGTTCTCTTTCTAACGAACACCAATGTATTATTAGAGGGGGACACTTTTAACATCCTGGTTTTTCATTCCATAAACAGTATACAAAGCATATTAAGAATAGCATTTTGTCACTTGTTCCTCCCTTTCTCAACAGAAGTCAGATTCCGTGTTCGAGGGACAATCTCGCCCACTTTTGTCTCTGAAAGCGGTAGACACGATTTCAGGAGGAGGGCGTTTGCCTCAAATGTCACTGGTGGGAGGGCTGAGTGGGGTGTGGCCAAAGGCTCTCTCTTGCCTCTTTCAGCAATGATGCTGGCAACAAAAAAGCCTCCCTCCAGCAATCGTGCCTACCCTCTTAAGGTAAACGAATGGGTGGCGCCTACGAAGTTCTACACAATTACGATTGCTAATCATTGAAACGATAAAAAAGCATCAAAAAGGCAGG